CTCCATGGAAAGAAACGGGATTAGACCGTAGGATTTAGTTGTTAGTATATTATTATTAGAACAGTGAAGAAAAGGTTACCCTGAAAATGCACACTCCGGTACAGTAGGTGGCGGTATGCACTATGCAAGTTGGTTGCGATCCGCCAAAGGAATTTAAAGAAGAAGAAGAAGAAGCCCCTCCGTGTACAGCTTCTTATCACTGTCCAAATACCACAGATATTATGGTAATCAGCGTTGCATGATACGTGTCTGACCTAAATACCCTTTATTGTTCAGTCTTTGTTCATCGTGCATTGCTTTTTTCTGTTTTTTAATGTAACGTTACTGCCGCGACAGAGCCTCTCCCAGCTGTTAGCAGACTGTTAGCGAGCTTTACCCAGCATGCAGTTCGGCGGTGAAATTTTATAAATGTACAATTATTAGTGCAACAAATTGTTTATCTGTCACAAACTGTTGTGTCGTGGTGTTTTTCCCTGTTAAAGAGCGTTAGTTGTGGGTTGTTAATTGTTGTTATAAAGTTATGACCATGACTAGGGTTACCACTCAATACAGATAAGACAACTAGCTCCGTTCGTAGAACTCCTAGCGCGAACAATATATTTTGCTACCTGTTGAAGAGCAGCATAAGTTATTTCGGCTGTTCACCGGTATGACGGTATATGAAAAATTCATATCGTATGGGAATTTAAACCGGTATACCGCCCAGCCCTAGTTGAAAGCCTGGTGCGCTAAAGGCTGATTCTGGTACGTTGGTATCAAACACCGAGTGGCACTGACCAAACATCGCTACCCGACGCCTTGGGAGTGACCTGCCACATGCTCCAATGGGCACGCCAATGCCACATCTTATCATAAAGCAAGGAATCTCTGTGTTTGTGTGTCAGCCATACGTCTCGAGAACACTATAAGCAGCACTTGTAGGAGCCAAGCAATCGGGCTGCTCTGACATGGAATTGCACTAGTTTTATCAAAACAGACAACTGCAAGGTCTTTGTCTTCTGTTTATAGGAGATAAACTGAAACATAAAACGTACCACTTCCTGTGTGGCAGAGTATTCAGACCTTCTGACCGCCAAGTGTACCAAACATAGCAAACACTTTAATTAACTTAACTGCTAGGGTTGCCAACTTTCTCACTTCCAAATATATACCAAAGGTGGCATGCCAGGGCGGTGTGGTGTGGTCTGTGGATTTAAAGTGTATGTTCATACTCATTTAGAAAGACTAAATGTCATCCTGAGGGAAAATTCAGTCTTTCCTGCGACAATATTTATGTAAGCGTATGTGAATAACCATCAAAATAAATGATGACCTTTTTTAATGGATATGTCTTGCTGCTGTAGACTGATTCAAGCAGTCCTTCGTCTTTTTCCAAAGTCCTTACATGACAAGATGTAGATCTTTAAAACCAGTGACTCATCTACCGAAGGCTAGCTTGCAGGTGTTATGAGCTCTCTGAGCTGGGCAATTAGCTTTGTGATTGTGATTGTTGCCACTTCTCAGTAACTGGTAAACAGAGTGCTGTTTTCCAAAGGTGACGCTGGCATTATCTGCTGAATATGCTGTAGTGTGCCTAGTTTCCAGTTCATGCTTTAGCAGATAGTTCAACAGAGCTCGATATATCTTCATCAAAGTCAGCACTCCATCAGACAGATTTATCTCCCGCACACTGGAAACATTTTTCTATTAACCCTCATTTGAGTGAGGGACAGAGCATCCAAAATATCCTGCACAGTCTTTGGTCCTAAAACTTTCTGCAATCATCTCAGCTTTCGTTCTTCCCAAGTGCATCTTCTCTACAAAACAAGGTAGTTGGTGCTGTTGTAGTACTTGCTGCAATTTTGTCATTTTCCGCAGCAGATGTCACAAAGACTGCCTCGATAGTGCATGCACCTTTTAGCTGCCGTTGCATTCTTGTGCATTTCTGTGGAGGTGTGCTGAGTAATATCATTGTCATGCATTAAGCGCATTTGTTCTTCTTTCTTCAAGTCACCGCCGACGGGTTTAACCCACGTCTTTTTTGCTTCCCATCGTTTATTGTGGCTGCACGTATTTGGACATGACAAAATGACCAACAACACTAGGCATTACCAAAACATTTTCTTTTTTTGGCAGGAATTGGCGCATTTACGATATACACATCTGCTGAGCATAAGGGGCCTGTGATTGGATGACGGGTGATCTGCTACTGTTGTTTCAGATCTAGGATCTGTAAGATTGCTGTCTGCTGATCAAAAGTAGATGAGGTCTGAGCGATCCGCTCTCAGTGCGTCCTCACTGCATCTTGGTCACATTCACACCTGTATTTAGAGCTGTCCACTTGTGATTGGATCACCCAAGACGCATGTTAATACCAGATCTGAAGAGGGCCGAAAGAGCCGACTTTCGACCTTATTTGAATAACTCTAGTTCGCATATTCAAGCCCCGTAACCCCCCAGTTTCTCCAGCGGAACTGATAAGCGACCAATGGCAGAGCGTGGTAGTATTCGGCAACATTAATGCAGAACTGAAGACACAACTTGTCTCGATAAAAAATGGTTAATCTTCAGATTCATCAACAGGCCTATGTATTCTAAGTCAAAACACTCACGAGACCTAGACAAGTTTGAGAAAATTATCTCTGACTCGAGACTAGCCTTGGCTCTGTATGTGAATTTACTGATCTGAATGTGAAATTTTAGACAATGATTGTGGGAGTTTTTCATAGATAAGGTGCGAAGAGAACATTAAGTTTTCATGATAGCATTGCCTTCCTGACCTTAATCACATGGGTTATGACAAAACATTCACTTTAAATTAAGATTTATGTCTTTATAAACACCATTCACACACAATGCTGTGGAAGTGAAGTGTGTCATCCCGTCTGGGTGAAAACTGAATTGCCCATGGCATGAGCATGAATCATCAGTGGAACTCTTTCAATTAATGAAGATTTAACAAAAAAACTATGTACCTTGTTTTTACAGTGATGAAAAGCCGGTATTCCTCCTTGTGGAATCTTTCAACGAGGCATGTAAAAAGAACAGTTATTAAGCTACTGAATGAAAGACTGCTTTCCTTTATTGTCTTTATAATATTTTTTTCTATTTCAGATGGAAAAACCTGGTGGAGGCATGAGGCGTCGACTCCCCAGCATCACCTGAAGAACTGGAAGGTGAGCACTGCTCCCAATATGTTCAGGGTGTGTTTCGCTGTCAGCTGGCCAGAGATGTAGTGGTCAGTAAAGAGACTGATGCCGACAAACATCCTGAATGAGAGAATGTATGAGAATTAGAAAGAAAAGGAGGCCGGCAGACTGTTGACATATACGTTTCACTGTCGGGCCAGTTTCCACTACGATGCCCATTTGATCTGGGCATGGAGTTCCTGCCAGATGCTGCAGAGAGACTCATTTCATAAGTGATGTTAAAATATTAACCTTACCTGCAAAATGGGAAGGTGTCACATATCAATTAAGTAAGTAAAGAGGTGCAGGTGTTGGGCTGCAGATATCCCACAGGGCCGTGGAGACGGGGCCCCTGTAGGCTAAAAGACACAGACACAATTTCCATGTCAAAGAGCCGATGGAACAGGACGGATCAGCTTTCAGTCCCCACAATGTATGGAACACTACATATTAATTGATTAAATGCAAATAGTAAAGCAAAATCCTAGCAGTGAATCAATTGCCATTGAATTTGGTTTAGACATTAGGGGATGAATACAAAAGACTTTTGTGAATTTTCCTCTAGCTAGTTAAAGAGTCCTGCTGTCTAGTGAAATATCTCCTGATCTACTAAATGCACTGGCACGAATTTTCATCCAGCAGAGTTTTTGACTGTTAGTACTGTGCAGCAAAGTTTTTTTACTTGTTTTGTTAGCGTCTCATGCACTCAAGGCTCATTTCATAATGAATGCCGTCTTCTCACTTTTCCTGCGCTTGAGTCCGTATGTCTACGGTGGATTGTCAAAATCCTCATTATGCTTTTTGCAGTGGTGGAAAGCAACTGAGTACATTTGCTCATGTAGTGTACACAAAGGTGCTCGATAAAAAATTCAGAGCATATCTACTACCTCCACGTGGCTCTCAACCTGTTCTTTTTTTGTTTCTACCCAACTACACTTGAGAGGGAAATATTGTACTTTTTACTCTACTTCATTTATTAAAGCTTAAATTCATATGCAGATTCAGATTATTTATTAGAAATATATTATTAAGAAATGATACTGAATAAACTAGCCAGCAGTTTATAACAGATGTCTTAACCATTATCACTTTATTTTATCAAATGTTTATCTTGTCCTTATTCCGTATGCTCTGTAACTATGACTTCTTAAAATGCAAGAAAAATAAAATAAATAAATGAAAGACCACGAAAGCCACAGAAACAGTCCTAAGCTGATAACTCAGCTGTAGATAACCGTGTACAGTGCTTGTACGGGCTAGTTTACTTGGCTGAATGGACTGAACTGGAACTGTTTGATGGAGTGCTATTTGAATAGTGAAGCGTATGTACTTAAGTGCATTAGAATGTTAACACCGCTTAGCTTGAGAAAAAAATTAACTACATTGACAGTGACAAGGAATCTTTCGACTGAACTGAACAAAGAGATTTGACTCGGCAAAGTGATTTGTGAAGTCCACCTCTACGATATAAAGTGGTTCAAATTATCCCAACCTTTACCTGCTGCAACATTAAAGTGCATCAATGAGTTCAATCCAATAATAAAATATATATTTTTCTGAAATTGGCCGTCCTCCATAGTGAGTACTTTTACTTTTGTTTATTTGGATAATATTACTTTTGTACCTTTGAATGAAAGACTTTTACTCTGTGCTATTGCTATCTTTTGTTCCACCACAAAGGAAAGTCAAAGAGGGCTCGGTAAACACTTAAAATGCACCATGCGGTGGCGATCCCACTTTTGGTGTCTGTGACGATGCCTGCTGACCAAAAGCAACTATGTGCTCCTCAATATCATCATCAGGTGATGCTGTGGGTGGTGGCGTCATTGCTGACACTAGTAGAAGACGTGTTTTCTGAGGAGGACAATAAAGAGGCTCAGGCAGACCTCCGGCGTGTCCTCAGGCAGCCCTCCTTGTCTCCTGCGGAGGATCTGGAACAGGACAACAGGGTCCACACACCCTGGCCTAAAGCCCTCGGCAAGTATTTCATTTTTTTTAAATTTCATCAGCAAGGTCTCAGCACTATACATCTATTTGTTCTTGCTGTTTTACTTAAATGAATGATTAAACTTGAATCTACTGTCATCAACAACACATTATTCTGGAATTTCAGTCAGGACTGATCAGTTGACCTGTCACACGGCAAAAGACAGGTGATGGATGTGAAATGTCCCATCATTGTATATTATTAAAAATGGAATGAACCAAACTCTAGCTGGGCTTTTATTGTGAAATGAATCATCCTTGCCCTGCGGTCACTCACCTAGATTTTAGATTTCCTGTTCAAATATTTTAGGTTGTATGCCTAGTTGGAGTCAGTACACTGAATATAGAAATATCTCAAATAAAAGTATAAACAACAATGTTTAATTTAATTTTGGCTAATATTGAGGTTATTTTTAGCATAGTTATCTTAAAAATTACCTCTCATATTGAAGACAAAATGCTGCACAAGGTAAACCCTTGTTTACCTTGTTTTTTTGGCCAAGGTTAATGTGAGTCTCTTGGGAATTTATTAAGAGTCACTGCAGTGTCATCACAAGACATCTTCATCCACCAATCAGTAAGCTCCGCTTTGGCACACTACAGAAAATTCAACATTTCATAAATGAATCAGACAGTCAAGGACCGACCGCTTTGTCCATTAACTTGTTCTCCAAAATAAATGTCGACATAGTTTGGCCGTACTTTTGCATCTTGCACGAAATCCATCTTGACAGGCTTCAAGTAATGCGTTTGTGTATGGTAAACCAGAGCACTTACCAATTGGCGTCCTGAGACTGTTCTAAATAACAATGGCGGCTATTGAAGAAGTAAGCGTAGATGCTGCAATAGCATCAGTACTATAAGAACTGGAGATAAATTCTTCATTGAAAGAAGAGCAAAGAACATACCTGAAGGCTTTTCTCTCTTCTCCTGACTTGCTTCCTAAAGAGTTTGATTGACAGACGGTTCATCAAATCATCTGCCAATTTTTTTTTATTGAAAGTGCTTGCCCTTCTCCAAACTTTTTCCAATGACGGATTCTCAGATGGTTCCGTACAAACAAATCTGTGGTCATGGTTAAAAGAAACCAAGGCTGACTGTTGGTATAGGGCACAGGAATCTAAAGGCGCTCCTGCATGTTAAATGTTGCACGCTTTGTTGACCTCTTCACCCCAATTCCCATTACACCCAGGAAGTTGTGCGGCTCTTTAACACGTTAGTTGTGTCTTTGCTCCTGACAGACATCATTGTTACAGCAGCAGCACGCAAGTGTTGTTTTTTTCGAACAAACGACTCATGCTGTGCATGTCTTTATTTCTACTATTAATATAGAATTTAAGTCATATAAACCACCCCGAACAATAATAAGAAAAAAAAAGTAATATTGAGTATGTTGGGATTATATAAGACATGCCCAGTGGGAACACATCAAATTTTGTCTTGTACCTCTGCATAGGGGCCATGTCACATTGGTTGCCTGCAGGCATACACTCTTATTTATAACCTTTGGCAGGGCACTTTTCATTTCCATCGTTCATTTGAACATTACCCGTTTTTATGTGCGGTTAAGATCGTGAAAACAAAGCTTCATAAATCTGAGACGGGGGCCATAAAATAGCAGCGTGTCACTCCTCATGACCGGCCTCTGGAAACTTGCCTGGTAGTTTTCATCACTGAGTATGGCCTTGTAACCGGGTGAAAATAATCAATCCCGTGTGCAGGTTTCTGTCATGCATCATGGTCCTGTTCTTCACAGCTAGCAGAAAAATAGGATGAATGACTGAATGTCTGTTTATTCTACCAATCAGTTTCGTAAGTATCTAAACCACAACGCAGTCTCTTTTATGATAATACCTATCTAATAATACATATAATAAATTTATAAAACTGAAGGAAAAACAAGGTTCACAGTAAGGCCCCCCCGACACTCCACCGTTGACTGAATTATTATTCAAGGGGCGACTGTGGTTTAGTGGTAGAGCAGGGTCGTCCTTCAATCAGAGGATGGGCGGTTCGATCCCCGGCTCCGCTAGTCCATGTCGATGCCTTGGGCAAGACACTTAACCCCAAATTTCTCCCGTAGCTTGGTAGCCACTGCAATCAGTATATGAATGGGGGTGAATGGTTGAATGATGACATGTAGAGTGAAAGCGCTTTGAGTTGTCGGAAGACTAGAAAACCGTTATACAAATACAGACCATTTACAATTATTGAATCTGTTTAAAGGGACAATTCGCACCAAAATCAAAGTTTCCTCTTACCCGCAGTGCTATTTATCAATTAAGATAGTTTTGGTGTGACTTGCCTAGTGCCGTAGAGATGTCTCCCTTTTTTCCCACTATAATGGGACTCAAAAAACCACTCAACAGTAATGTCTCTTTCCAGAAATCATGACCCGGTTACTTAGGATAGTCCACAGACCTTGTTGGGTGCAGTTTTCATGTAGGAACTATTTTTTCTCTCTGGCAAATTACGCCTGCCAACCGCAGAAGGAAGCATCTACCCATTGGCTCATGTTAGTGACAGCAATTGTTATTTGTTATTTGATTGTTATTTGAAGTTATTGAGGAGGATAGCTTTTCTTTTACTCCAGCATCTAATGGGACATGTCTTCTCCCCCAAAGCCTCTATGAACTGAAAGCATAGAGGCACAAAAAGGGTTACTGTAGTGTTATTGTTGTGTTTGAAGCAGTTACTGCATGTGACAATAACCGCTGACACTGACTTTATTCTTGTAGTGTTAAAAATATAACCCTGACACACCAGAGCATCACACTAAGATTGTCTGGGGACTTGTGCTCTCTCTAAAAAAAACAACAATAATGTTTAGCACAGTACGTGGACGTGATCGCCCTGAACATTGCTCAATTTGAATGTAACATTGGAATAGCTGTATAATTACATGAAATAATGCAAACCCATGTGGCGTGTTTTGACATGGCTGAATATGTATCTGGGGGAGGGGGGTTGAATGAGAAGGGCTGTGCTCTTCGCCTGGGGAACATGCATTTTTCCTTTTTTTTTTCTCGTGATTACAAGTTTTTTTTTTCGTAAACATCGAGGCATGAGCTGACAAGCACCTATGCTGCTGTAAATGAGCCTTCTACAGTAACTCTCCCCTAAGGACAATACTGCATGGAGGCATTGAATGGAAAAGTGCAGGGGCAAAGCCATCCCCGGTTCAGGAAGTATAGAAGTCTGTCAAACACCTGGACCAGGTCTGCCCAGCTGAGCGGCTGACGTTTGAAACGTTCCTGGCAACAGAGAAAGCAACTTCGGTTGGAGCTATGCCAGCAGCTCTACTCCCCTACTGGTAATGACCCCGCAGAGTGACAGTACATTTTGCACCACTCGGCCGACAACCGGAGGAATTTCCCTCCCAGTTTCAGCAGTCCGTGTCTACTTTTAGTTTGATCATGCACGCTCTCCTCTGCTCATAAAACTCCATTCTAATCCGATGCATAAACTAAATTGTGAGAAGTTGTTCACCTTTCCGTCTCTAAAGGCCAGAGCAGACACTCACTAAGTACCGTATCTTAACACCAGGAGTCCTCCTGAATGGTGCTAAAAGCTCCTAGCAAAGATCTCCTCTGAAGAGCTAGACACAAAGCTGCATAAAGCAACTTGTACAGAGCTAATGAGAACTCCTGAGCTAAGAGAAAGGCTGGGGGTTACCTTGTTACTACAGATGACATTGTTTTTGTGAATTAGTTTACACACTGTCTTGGTGTGATTGGTTGACTTGGGACAGGTCTGTGCCAGTGAATGTGAAATACAACATTATCAATATATATAGGGCAAAAAAAAAACTAAAAGGAATTTAATCTATTTCAATTTGAAATTAGATTAAATAACAATAATAATTTAACATCACGTAGAATTTAAATTGAAATATATTTAAGTTAAATACAATTTTTTAGTTCAAATTAAATTCTATTGGTATTGATTGTTTTAGCAAATCAAATGTAATGATTACATTTAAGAATGAAATTTAAAAAATCTAAATAAATTTATTCAATTCACATATTATAAATCAAATAATTAATTACATATTTAATATATATTAAATTATAACCTAAAAAATAGATTAGACAAAAACAATGTACAAAAAACAATATATCTGAAGAGAGTATTTTAGCTTTGAGGCATAGTTTTCAAAGACATCTGAGGTATTTCAAGTTCATCAACTCTGTAGTCACAGTATCACAGTAGTCAGAGTAGTCAAAGTAATCACAGCAGTAGTAGAAGTAGAAGTAGAAGTCATAGACCGAGTGTGTGCAGGTCTTCACGCAGAAGTCCTCTGGACCTCTAACGTTTTCAGACTAAAGCACTTAACTGCTTTGAGAATGATGACCTTTCCAAAACCTCATTTAGAATTTCTCCTAACTCAGCCAGTTAGGAACTGCTTTTGTTAAATACATTCACTGATTCTAAACACTCCAGTCAGTGTATGTGATGAATAACTACTCAGCTTCTTCCTCTCCGTCTTACTCTGATGCTGCTTTCCTTCATGTGGTCGGATGAGGGAGATTAACCCAGCAGAGTACAGTTGACATGCCAAATATGTTTACATACAGCAGGAATTTGTGAGCTGAGTAGAGGTTGAATCCGAGCTCTTTAACATATGGCTAAGTGAATAAAAGTGATACAAGATGTCTTTGTGAACCTATGATATCCTGTGCTTGAATGCATGTTCCCACAAATAAATCAGTTAGCAGATTATTGTGCCAGAATTTTCTTCAATTAAACAAAGATAAAACAGAAGTAATTGTTTTTGGTACCAAGGACGAACGATTGAAAATCACCGCTCAGCTTCAATCACTGATGTTAAAACCCACAAACCAAGCAAGAAATCTACGTGTAGTTATGGATTCAGATCTCAACCTGAACAGCCTCATCAAGACAATTACAAAATCAGCCTACTATCGCCTGAAGAATATATCAAGGATTAGAGGATTTATGTCTCAACAGGATTTGGAAAAACTTGTCCATGCATTTATCTTCAGTAGACTGGACTACTGTAACGGTGTGTCAGAAAGCTGCAGCTGATTCAGAACGCTGCAGCTCGAGTCCTCACTAAGACCAGGAGGGTGGATCACATCACTCCAGTTCTGAGGTCTTTGCACTGGCTTCCTGTCAAACAAAGAATTGACTTGAAAATCCTGCTGTTGGTTTATAAAGCACTGCATGGTTTAGGGCCAAAATACATCTCTGATCTGCTGCTACCTTATGAACCATCCCGACCCCTTAGGTCGTCTGGGACTGGTCTACTTTCTGTTCCCAGAGTCAGAACTAAACATGGAGAAGCAGCGTTCAGTTTTTCTGCTCCACATATCTGGAACAAAGTCCCAGAAAGCTACAGGTCTGCTGAGACCCTCAGCTCCTTTAAATCAAGATTAAAGACTTTTCTGTTTGCTGCTGCCTTTAATTGAACCAGATTCAATTAATATATTAATCAATTTCCTGCATTTCTGTATTTTACTACTGTATTTTATTTCTTACACTCCTTTTTAATGTTTTAATGACTGTTTTTATTGTTTCAATGAATGTTCTTAATTGTTTTTAAATCTCATTTTCTTTTGCCTTATGTTTTGATGCTTTTAAAGGTTTTATGTGAAGCACTTTGAATTACCTTGTTGTTGAAATGTGCTATACAAATAAACTTGCCTTGCCTTGCCCCCAAAAACACTGACCGCATGGTTGCACTGTGGAGGTGTAACCAAAGAAGCAACCAATAGTTATCACAATTTTTTGGATACTCAAATTAAAACTGCCTACCACTCCATAACTGATCACCTATCAGTTAAAGCTTACTGAACACCTACACTTAAAGCTAGGGTTGGTAATCTTCTTCAAAAAAAGATTTTGTTACATTTGTTGAAATTGTCTTTATCCTGACAGCAACAAATAAACGAAATCCTGTTTCTGTGGCTGGTGCAGGATCGTAGTAAGCCCGTCCAATCATTTCATTCGGCTACCGACTTGTCTAATTGATCACACTCTGCCAGTAGACTCATTGCGTGTCACCAAAGTTTTCCAAAAGCTGCTAGCTTAGCAGCAGTGGGTATTAACAAAAAACATAATTGTTGTTGAGGTTCATAATGATAATTTTGGAGGAGTGGCTTTGGAGGGAGGACTGAAGGGCTTTTAGTGTCCGACTTGGCGACTTTCCCGCTTTTTTTTGGGGGGGGGGGCATTTTTGCTCTATTTGATAGAAAGAGAGACAGGCAGAGGAGGTAGGGAGAAAGAGGGCATGACATGCAGCAAAGGGTCCTGGGCCGGAGTCAAACCCAGGCTGCCGCAGTAAAGCCATAATTGTATGCGCTCTACCCAGTGAGCTACTAGGGCGCCCACCTGCTAGTAGTGATGTGACCTTTCCTGTCGAGGCTTCGAAGCTTGTGTCGAGTAATCCAGGAAGATTTTTATGAGGCGCGTATCGAGGCTTGTGTTGATGACGTATGTGGTGACGTTTGAAGCCTCGCGAGCCGGCCGTACCACGTGACTGATTCAGGAAATGGTTCACGGGTCTGGCATGCGATTCGAAATATAAGGGGCAGCGAAACGCAATGGATCCCCTGTCACATTTTGTGTACTTTGGACTTTATTGCACGTTTGTTTGCAAACTATTCTCTGTACCCCAGCTTTATCTGTGCCCTGTGAAAGGGTGTTTTCTAAAGCAGGCGAAATAATGTAAAAAAAAACGTGTTACATGTTGTCCCTAGTAAGATAAGGAGAGTCACAAACCAAGGAATACAAGCACATTCGTCCGTGGCTCAATGGGTAGAGAGGGTTGTCCGGTAACTGCGATGAAGGCGGTTCAAGGCTTGACTGCTACATGTCTTATGCTGAAGTGTACCTGAGCAAGACACTGGGTACTTCTCAAGTCTATTAATTGCATCCCTGTTTCCCTCACTTGCGTCCTTTCCTTGCGTCTTAGTCCCTCCCACCAGGGATGCATGGAGGAAACCATGCAAGGAGAGAGGAACTAGGAAATATGTGTTAAGTTACATGAGACGTCCTTTCCTCAGTTGCGTCACGTGAAGCGACGTCTGTTTCTGATGACGGAGGATCAGCTGTCAGTCGGCTTTAACAGCTGGAGAGACTTTTGATAAGTTTGTGTCTGTTCACATGATCACTGTACTTAATAATAGTAACTAATAATCCTAATAACTAATAAAGACACACAGTAATCACCACTGTAGAGGTGTTTCTCTCTGTAGTCTGTTAACAAACTGTGTCCTGTGTTCTGTTTATCAGCACAGGATCGATGTCTACCGGCGGAATGCGATCGTCTTATTTATGAATTATTTGCGTCTGTACGTTTTGAAATTGTGACTGTGGCGTCATTATTAAATAACCCAGAATATGATTATTGTTTCTCTTAAATGATGAAAAGTGTTTCATCTCTCCAGCTCCCTAATTGTTTCCATAATAAAAGTTATTGAGGGAAACATCAGATCATGAAAACACAAATCTTTCTAATAAATGAAGAAAGTTGTTTGTGGTCGTTTTGTTGTTCAGACTACAATGAACATATATTGAAACCAGATGGCGAATCAGAAACCTAATCAAATATAAAGCTTTAGTTTATTCTGTGATCTGTCTTCACTCTGGTATGAAACTCCAGTCAGTCAGTTCGATCGGCTGCAGCGTCCAATCACATAACTGATGAACAATGAGGGGGTGTGTCGGCCTTTAAAACACTTCCTGGAAGTCTGTTCTCGGGGTTCCTCGCTCATGGCTCCTCCGAGGTCCCTCCTCCATCCTCGCTCCTCGCTCCTCAGAGCTACATTAGAGCTTTGGGACGGCCGTCAATATGGCGGCGCAGAAACAACTTCCGGTTCAAGCGAGGATCGAGGAGCAAGGAAACGACAATTAAGAGACTTGAGAAGTACCCACAGAACCCCCCTAACTGCTACTCGGGCTCTTCTCAGCAGCCCACTGCTCCCAATAAGCTAAGGATGGGTTAAATGCAGAAGTCAAATTTCGTATATGACAATAAAATCCTAACTTTTTTTCAAACTTCTCACATCACAACCCTCTCCCCAATTTGTTTCCACTTTCCCTTTTGACCCTGCCATTGTATCATAAAGAGAGACACCATATTAATAACTTCATAAGTTATGCATCACGCATCACAAATATCATTCATTCATTTATTCAATTCAATGCTTCACACACCAAAGCCATGGTGTCATGATAATCACTCTGCCTGTTTTACATTTATTGTCCACTTGATGGCACAGTAGAGCAAATGAAGCACCATGAAGCTTCGACCCATGAGTGAACCAATTGGATGGAAAGCTTCAATGCTTCATGAAGCTTCATCTCGCCATCACTACCTGCTAGCTACTTTTATTGGAAAATAATTGACAACACTGCGCTGAGTTTTTCGGTTGGTTAATTATAGAAATGTAAAAGTACTCTTGCTAGTTCGTCAAGATTACCAGCCCTGGCTTTAATATTGATCCCTCAATCTGTTTCAACAGGAATTGTATCAGAATAAAGAAATGATACTGCTCTTAAATTCACATAAAAACTTCATTTTTGGAGCCAAATTGTATCAATGTTTGCCACAATTTCTTTTTTTTTTTTGCTACCATAGGAGTTTTGTCAACCAAATAATTGACTACCCAGGTGTCCCGTCTGTGTTTTCTTTTGCTTGTAGAGGAGTGGTCACTGATGCAGGAAGAGGAAATCCAGCAGAGCAGATGGCGGCGCTCCCATCGCGACCCAAACTTGCCCAGAACGTCACGGAGGAATCGCAAGAAGACCAAGAGCAGTCGCGACTGCCACCTGGAGAGGAAGCAGATGCGGGTGCGGGATCTCGGTCTCGGCTACGACTCGGACGAAATAGTCCTCTTTAAGTACTGCGTTGGGATATGCCACGACTCCCGCAAGAACTACGACCTGGCCCTGAAGGCTCTTATGGACAATGGGAGCATCTCCGGCAAGAAGGTCAGCGGTCACCCCTGCTGTCGGCCCACCCGTTACGAGACTGTGTCCTTCATGGACACCCAGACTACCTGGCAGACAATTAAGTGGCTCTCGGCGGCCAACTGCAGCTGTGTGGGCTGAGTGCAAAGAAGAGTGTCCATCTGCACACAGAAAATTTCTTGTGTGAAAAGAGCAGGATGCCGCAAGGCCTGGGTGACTAAACCCTAGTTCATGTGGTCTGAGGCGAGAGGATTGGACCAGGATCCTCAGCACAGTGGCCATGGCTTTCACTCCACTAACAGCTTGGATGTTGGAGTTGCGATACCTTCAGACAGAACCACGCTGGCTATGTTTGCTAGCAGCCCGGGGCAATGGAAGGTTTGTTTCAATGCTACCAGCAATAAGCAAGGAGGAGACTATCAGTACTGTTCCAGTCCATAATGGACTTTATTTTGGGTCCTTCATTCAGCCTATTGAGGGCTTACAGCAGCCATGTTGGAGGTCTTCAGTTCTTTGGCAAAAGAGGCTCTGAGTAGCTGATCACATTTCTAAGTGAGCAGCTTGACTGTCTTACTGGAGTTCAATGGGCCTTTGGTTAATTGATAACTCCTGTTTTCTTTTTGACTGGCAGCTGTCGAATTCACCATAAATCTGTTTTTCTGTTTGTCAGAAAGTCATGGCACCGTATCAGCTATCTAGCTAATTTGTTAGCTGGTCCTCTAGAAGAAGCTAGTAAGAGGCTAACTGCATGCAGACATTTGTGGCTGAAACATACTCCAGCAGGTATGATGGGTAACTTTTTTCTTAATTTGCATTCACAAATGATTTTTGTTAATCAACAATTGTGCCAATTAATTAATCGATTAGAAACGTTTTAACCATTATCCTGCAAACTTTAAATGATGTCAAAGTTAACAAAATCTTAAGCATTAAATCCCAAACCACAAACTGGCAAGATTAAAGCCAAACTGCCCATTCACATTGATTATGACCAAACAGCTTTTAGCTTTCAGAACATTAGCCTTTATATGTGCAGAGTTCTATCAACAACATTTGAATTAAAATCATTCTTGGCACGCAGCATATTTGGGCAAGTCCCTTTTATTTAACTTGTTTTTCTTTTTTTGTGTAACATTGTGGCAATGCAACAACCCAAATACAGCCCATCCTGAAATATAATGGTAACTTTAAAAGATTTCCATTATATTGAATTAGATTACATTTTTATTAAAATCCATTTTAAATTGAAGACAGTTGATGGTTTTACATATGGAATGTGATTCATCAGCTTTTGCACATAAGCATGGTAGGACATCTTAATGTTGGTATTATGTTCTGCCAAAAACTCCACTATTTGTTCAGGTCACAGTACCTGTGTCTAAAAAAACAAGTCAACCTTATCAGACCATTCACTTTTATTTTGAACATTACTGACCTACGGTATATATCCACACAGCAGAATTATTGAAACATTTCTCTTTTTCTTATGTTGGTTGTTTTATAGCCTATACTACTTATCCATTATTTGCCAAAAGCCAATTATCCAAATGTGATTTCTGGATATTTGTATATCAACTGCAAAGCCTCTATTAAAACAAAGTCAAGACATTAACAGCTCAAATCAACCAGAAAACGTATCATTTTAAAGACCAAATATTGTGATGTGAAGACATGTTAGAACATGTTGAACTTGGAAGTTTCTAGAAGTTTTTCCTGTTTTGTTTTTGCAAATACAATGGTCTTCATAAGACTAACGTTAGCTTTCACCGTGTGATACAACTCTACCTGTCCTTCCAGGGCAGCTCAATAACACTATCTGGTCCAGGAAAAGTCACAATGAAAGCAACTGTAGTCTTTCGATGTCCTAAACCTGTCTCTCCCACACACTTACATTTTAACTTTAGTAATACAAAAGTATTTTACATTGTTTATTTTAGTGGAGGTATTCATAACGCTTGATGTGACCCCAGTGGCTTTCTAAATTCAGCAGAGCAGCTCGGATCATAACATACTGTCCTCTAGCAAGCCAACCTATGCTAATTGTAAATGCCACAGTAGCTCTGGAGTGCTTGTTGAAGCACGGCTTGTTTACATCTCTGTTACCGGTCTATTGTAAGATGCCATCGCAAATATAGTCGTGAGCCAGCCATCGCTCAGAGCGACAGCTTTTCACCGCCTGGTCTATTTTCAGATCAGGTGTGACACGATACCTCTCACAGCCACCTGTTATAGAGCAGATTACATGTAATGTGGTCACATCTGATCCAGCTACTGCAGATTAGACGTAGAAGCAGGTTTGCAAAGGAGCCATTTAGACTGTGACATTCATCGCATAACTTCACACAATGTGAATTGCAACACAAATTGATAATGTGCTATTCATTCATATTGAAATAGGAATTTTTTTAAAAGTCTTTTTTTAAAGTACCACTTATTGCTAGAAATTAGATTCAGCGAGATACCAGATTACCTTAAATGACAACATAATGTAATGTCCAATGCCACCATTTAAAAAACATTTGTCAATAGAATACCTTCAGCGTAGTAACCATGGTGTCGCTAAGGCTTACGACCAGTGGCGTAACATAGTTACGATGTGCCCCAGTCAAGTCACAGGATCAAATGGAGATTTGACATTGGACAGTATCAACATACATATTGCCCAGCAATCATAATTTCATATCTGTACATGACAACAATACCCAAGAGAATGAGAAATTACTCCTTTAATTGAATTGTTTTTTTAATCGTTTATTTAGTTTTTATAGTTTATAGCCTTTTTGAGAGGATACTGTATATAGCAAATGGCACCCTTGTAAATTTATTATGAGTTTCTTTATGAACACAGGCTTACTGACAAGGAGTCTTTATTTATATCCCTGGTTATGACAAGTAAACTACACTTAAGGTACGGTTAATGGTTAATAAAAATGTATCAGCATTTTTTTATATAACAACTTAACATACAGTACTGTACAGTATATTGTTATAGTAAGGCAAAATAAATGATTCAGTGCATTTCGAGTGCAAGCGAAAAAGGACATCATCCCTCACTGGCTTCCCACCCACCAACAGTGTCAGTTGTGACGCTTACTAGATGTCTGCAGTGGTGGGCCAAACAGATATTACACACTTTGAGGTGCGCAAATCCATGTCTGCACTCGTGTTTGTCCTTGCTGTTGCACACACAGTTGAAATGTTTGTCAAAAATATATCCATGAAACAAATTTATTGCACTTAACTTTGGTTTGTTATTAGAATATATGTTGCTATGTTTTTCATATACCGAAAGAAACTGAAATTCGAATGTAATAACAGTCAATAAAATACACATACACAAATATATATATAAACTTATCCATTATACACAAAAAGTTATTTTATTACACGCTTAGCATTTTTATTATTTCATTATATGCTGATTATGACTTTTTTTTTATTTCAGTATCTACAGTAATTACATTTTGTGCAGGTATGACATATCAGTTTCAATGCTACTACTTGCATTGACACAAATGGTTGGCTCTGAATGTAAATAGCTGGCTGTAGTTTTATAGGAACACCGGTTATACATGTAAAAGTGATATTTGCAGCACTATATGTCTGTACACTTGTTGCAAGCTTCATGTCAACTTGTTCCACCCCGTCTGCACCGCACATGTTTATGAGAATTTGAGAAACCCGAGTGGACCACATGTAGCTCAACACAAAGTCCTTCCACATCTGACCAACAAATAAGATTGGACCCTATAAACATTGGAAAAGTTTAAAATGAAGCTTCACGTGTCATAAGGTAGAATATTTATTTTGCACATGCAAGTTCTCTAAAACAGTATTCATACAAGCTATTTGGTGGTCAGCTGCATTAAAACCAGTCTAAAACTATTCAAGTGAAGCAGTGGCCTGGATTGTACTTTGTGTCTCAGCAGTAAGTATCTCTGTGAACAGTGTTTCCACAGATAACACTGGAATAACAAAGCATCTCCAGACTTCCAATTCTTTTGTTGCTCTTTTGTTATTGGGGATCATCTGCAGAACGCTTACAGCCTTGCACACAATCTCACATTTGCTTCCAATTACACCAGCTTGTGCTTTTATGGCAGCAAATAGAGGTTGTACTGTTAAGAAGCAAAAATGTTCTCCAGAGCATTTTCAGACACAATTATCACAAACAAAGGTCCAAACCTATGAAGCGTGGTCAATCTCTCAAATTAAACCAAAAAAAAAAAAAAGTACATTCATATCTGAATTTTACTTGCAGGTTTTTGGTAATACTCCACAAATTGATACAACATTCAAGACATCTTCCCTTCCACTTAAGACACGAGGAAGTGATGCCAGGAAAAGATGCCAGGAGAGAGGATTCGAGAAAAGGTGTTTTTAGTGAAATGGGACGCTCTGTCTTTTGAACATTTATCTGGAGCACAACAGTTTCTGATGATGTCATATATACAGTATGTATGTCCATACAGCATTGCAGAAAATGAGAAGTTATTTATACTTTCATTGAATAGTTCTTTTAATTCCTCATTTAGTTTTTATAGTTCCCGTAGAATAAGCAAAATATTTTGTTATTGCTGCTGACTACAG